AATGAACAAGCATATGTAGCATGTGGCCCCACCATAATAAGCTCCATTATTTGGTCTCTTTGTGGACAATATAATAATGCAAAATGCATTACATGTGACTGTGTATGCTTGCTACAATTTTCTACATCATCATACGAGTTAGGGTTTAAAGAGACAAAATATTTATAAAATAATCATTAGATAAGAACCGGGGTTTAACTAAGGGAAAATGGAAACTAATAATCCAACCTTTTAGCGGTCTTCTTACAATAGTCCCACCTTTTGATTATTCATGAATAATCCAACCTTTGCACCTCATCTTCATTCACTGGTCCCTGACCGGTTGATGACCTACTATTCCAAGTTATTTTCTTATCTTTGCAAACCATTATACCATAAATCTCACCTTTCACAAAGATAATATTTTGCAAAGATAAGAAAATAACTTGGAATAGTAGTTCATCAACCGGTCAGGGACCAGTAAATGAAGATGAGGTGCAAAGGTTGGATTATTCATGAATAATCAAAAGGTGGGACTATTATAAGAAGACCGCTAAAAGGTTGGATTATTAGTTTCCATTTTCCCTTTAACTAATTCACTACTACATTTTCAGACCTAACGTAACATTAATGATGTAACAGTTTGTAAAAGTGTTACATATTTCTCTAATGTAACACTTTTTAGATCTAATGTAACACTTTCTAGAAGTATAAATGTTACATTAGGGTCTATAAAGTGTTACAATAGAATCTAATGCAACATGAGCAAATGTAATGATAAAAAGTGTTACAATTGCTCTAATGTAACACTTTTTAGTGATATTGTAACATTTTTTAGTGGTATTGTAACACTTTTGACTGTTACATTAGGGGCTTAATTGTTGTAGTGATTGGTGTTCTTTTTTTAGGTAAACTTACTTTTTGAGAAAAAAGTAAAAAAGTACAACAGCGATACCTTGTACGTAATATAAATATGATGAAGATATTTGAGTGCAGTTTCAAAGAAAGTTTGACCAAAGTTCTCTACGTATAATATAAACATTATAAAGTACTCCATATTTATGATTCTTATAGTACTCCGTATTCATCTTTTGTTCTTTTAAATTGGAAAGATAATTGTGTCCATCAATCCAAAGTGTAGAAAATGTACGACCAGAATAACTTTATCCATGTCAATATAGATGAGTTAACACTTAAATTGACTCGTAAGATTGAAATTGATGAAATTTGGTTCAAACGAAATCTGTTCAATTATATAAAAAAATAAAATATATTTTATTAATAAGTTAAAAAAATTAAATAAAAGTAGTTAAAATATTTCTCCACAGTAATTTTATTCAGTTGAACAAAAAAAGTAATTATTGTCTTATTTATTTTGATTATTACACAATTCAGCGCACAAAATCAAAATTACGATGAGATGGATAAGCTAAAAATAGGGTTAGCAAATGAGCTATTAGTATGTCCGTTTTTTAATGCTACACCTTCTTACCAATAAATAAGAGTGACAAATTTTAAATGCATTTGATTTGTCCATATCATTATTTCATAATTTTTTATATTTGAACTACTAAATTATTATAAAGAAATTGCTTCAAAGATAGCCACTATGTTTTATTGCAAAATAGAAATTATTTGAGTCTGTTAAAAACATAAACTTCACTAAATAAAAGTAAATGAGTCTTACTTTAAGAAAAAAAATGACAGTTCCATTTGTGGTGCAAATTGTCTGATCTATGCTTTAGAGTCCGTTTGGTGACCTCTTTTTACGGCTTATCATCTAGTTTTTTCACCTAACACATAACTTGACTTCCGCACGTTGAATTACTCCGTATGTAATAATAAGAAAAAGTAAGATTGAAATTGATTTTTTGCTGTATTGGTTGAAGTTACCGTAGAAGATCGTTTTAGCTATTTTTTCATATAATTCTTTATTTGATTTATTAATAATAAATATTTTAAATATAAGTTTTTCATAAATCAGAATCAGCCAATACAGTCAGAACTTCATAAATTTGAGCAGAATGAGCAAATTCAACCAAGTGTTATCAAATAGACTCTCAATCATATTTAAGGAATCTTCTCATTAGAATATTACAATTTGCCTTAATTTTTTATGTGTGCTATGCCGATTTAAATAAATATCAAGTATTCTAATCATTAGAAACAGTAACATATGGGCATGAATATATTTATATATCGTGTAACAATTTGTAATATAAGAACCATGCTAGATTACTCGGTAAGGTATTATCACGTCCATTTCATACTACCTTGTTATGAGATACGAAAACGCCGCCTAAATCTTTAACTCACGCATTGCTAAGGTATTATCATGTCCATTTCATAAGTACAAATGTACAACCGAGTCGTGTATTGCTATGTTGTAAGAACCGGACCGGGAGGCGACCCGGAAAAGCCACTGGGTCACGGGTCAACCCGGAGTCGGGAGGGTCAACCCGGTCAACGCCGGGTCAATCCGGTCAATGGTTATTGAAAAATAAAATATAAATATACCTAATTATAAATTTGATTAAAGTTGTATGACCAAAAATAATTTTCATTCAAAATTTAAAAATAGTTATAAGATTGAATTAAAACTTGATGTACCAATATATAAAAAATCTCACAAGATTAAAGGTGTATTTGGATGGAAAATATGGGAACATAATACTTTGAATCTATATAAGAATTACAATTATGATGACTAAATATAATGGATATTTCATAAATACGTATTAGTATATTAATAGTTTAATACTACTTGTCAAAATGGTTATTATTGTGATTCTGATTTAATAACTTAAATAGTTACGAAAGTATAATCTAAAGGAAAAATTGACAAGAATAATCTCACCTTTTACTGGTCTTCTCATAATAATCTCACCTTTAAATAATCCCAAAATAATCCCTCCTTTGCACCTCATCATCTTTCATTGGACCCTGACCATGTTTTTTACTCTTTCTTTGAAAATTATACAAATAATCTCACCTTTCACTTTTTAATTATATCCTTATAAATGTGAGATTGTTTATATAAGATTTTTAAAAAGGGTAAAAAAACTTGGTCAGGGTCCAATGAAAGAAGATAAGGTGCAAAGGTAGGATTATTTTGGGATTATTTAAAGGTGGGATTATTATGAGAAGACCAGTGAAAGGTGGGATTATTCATGTCAATTTTTCCTAATCTAAAAACATAAAAATGAAAGGAAGCACTCAGAACATAAGTAGTCTAGCTGATTCGAGTTACACATGTTTGCCCCGGTGACCTGGGTTCGAATCCCCTGGAAGCTAAATTTTGCTGAATAAATGCGCGGGCCGCCGGTTTAAACAGGTTTTGGACGGTCCGGGTCCGTCGCGGGTTATAGCGGTTCGCCGGTTATTTCCGATTTGTTCCATATTTGCGGGTCTCCATTCAATCGGACCGGCACCAGAGCCGGGTGACCGGGTTCCGGCTCGAACCAGCTGGTCCGGTTCGGTTCTTACAACACAGGTGTATTGCTACATGATTGAGGGTGTTTGGATTTGATTCTCAAAACTGATTCTGCTCCTTCAGGGACCAGGAGTAGAAGCTGGAGTGTTTGGATGAAATTCCGGAAACACTTCTGGTGCTCTAATTTACTCACAGAATCACTTTTTTTAGAAGCTGGTAGGTACCAACTTCTGAAAACTGATTCTGATTCTGCTTCTGCTTTAAAAAAGAAGCAGAAGCAGAATCAGTTCCAAACACCCCTGAATGTGCAAACAGGTAAATAAATATTCCATCTTTTTCATAAAATTCTTTCCCATTAGACTTGAATTGAAATTTTAAAAAATAAGAATAAAGTGAAAATGTATGATTATGATTGAGTAGGAAATATGTAAATGAATGTTAAGGATGTTTTCTTTTGGACTGAAATTTGCTGGTCTGTTTAAGTCTGGTCTGGTCTGAACTGGTCTGGTCTGGTCTGGTAAACGTCTGATCCCTGTGTATTTTATAACTACGGAAGTCTGGTCTGGTCTGGTCTGTTTAAGTCTGGTCTAGTCTGTTTAAGTTTGGTCTGGTCTGGTCTGGTCTGTTTAAGTCTGGTCTGGTATGGTCTGCTTAAGTCTGGTCTGGCCTGGGACTGAAAACAGTCCAAAAGAAAACATCCTAATTATACAAAACTTTTCAAAAGGGAAAATGTAAAACACTTTTTAGGATACACTGTTTTCGGTTTATCAAACAACTTTTTCACCAAACACATGACTTTTGCTTTCGCGTGTTGAATTGTGTAATAAGCGGAAAAAGTAAGATTGAGTTACTTTTATGGTTGTATTAGTTGAAGTTACTGTAGATGACCTTTTAGCTATTTTTACATGTAATTTTTTCTTTATTTTATTAATAAAATATATTTTAAATTTTTTTTCTTAAATCAGCAGAACCAGCCAATGCAGTCACTTCAGCTAGGAGTTCATAAATTTCAGCAGAATCAACCAAACCAACCGATTTTCGTGCTACCAAACTGGCTCTCAAAATAGTAAATGAGAATAATTTTATGAGATGAAAGATAATGGTAACATATGGAATTTTGAACTTTTTGACAAAAACTCTTTCTTAACTGCACGGATATTATTCAAAAAAAAAAAAACTGCATGGATATTATTTTGAAAATTCCCCAAGTTTAATAAGAAAAACTCAATACGGAGAACATATTTATATGACTAAATAAGTACAAGTGTTACTAAAATCCAAGTAAAACCCAGTCTTAATCGCTTTTAATCTTATATAAACACTTTACGGCCCAATATAGGCTTAACATACCCTTCAAAACAGTGACATGTTGAAACATCATAATCTTGAAATTCGTGTGTTTTTAGGTCTTAATCAGCCAACTGCTGACTTAAATTTAATTAGTTTTGATATCTAATCAAGACTCATTAGTGGAGAAGTCAAATTACTTGCATGTTAATTTGTACTTTTATAACAAATAAGGCCTAAACATGAAGTATTTCTAGAAAAAAAATAACATTAATAATTCTCTAAATAAATTAAACATAGATGTGATAATTAAGTATCAGATAAAGTGAAATTCACTAACTAGAGTATGTTTTAGCGAAACCTCCAGCAAATATTTATTTCTATAATTATATGGTTTCCAAGTTACATGTACAAACATCTCCCACTTACATGCCCATCAAATGCCTCTAAACTTGAACTCTATATACTGATATTGAAAGGGACTTTTAGGGAAAAGAAATGGGGAACGAAAGAGAAAACTAAGCAGCAAATGGAACATTATATTCATATCTCTGGCTTGTGTATTATGGCAGATCAACAGATTAGCAAGTAGTTGAACTATTTGTCACACTACCACTTCAGCCAATATAACCAACCTCCAGCAGCACCTCATCAGCTAATTTGGCTGGGACTTGATCACATAACTATACAAGCTGAAGGGCTCTCGTCATCATTGACGGACGACGTGGAGCCATAGTTGGTACTTATCAGAGGTGGGGGGTAGGGATAGTACGGGTAAGACTGGTGGTGCATGTAGTTCATTGGTTGTGGCTGTGGAGGGTGGTACATCATCGGCTGGTGCTCCAGCTGCTGGTTCATCATCATCGCGGGCATTTGGGGTTGTTGGTAGGCATTCCCTGCCAGAATCTCGGGCCTGGCTGCCTGAAAGTAACCCCCGTTATTGCCGCTGCTGGCAGAGTTCATACCTGGTGCAGGTAAGCCTTGGACTGCTGGGTATCGGCCCATTTGGAGATTATTACTCATATCGCCCATGTTATGACCTGTTCGGCCCATGGACATGTTGGTGTTCCCCATTGGCCCCATGTTAGGAAAGCCGGTTTTCATTGCCATCATCTCTTGCATGCTTGGAGGTCCATCCTTATTTCCATTTCCCTTGTTACCTCCACCATTACTGCTAGCATGGCCACCATTAGTGCTCTTATTCTGACCACCTACATTCTTTCCTTCTTGATGATGCCCACCAATAATACTTTTGCTGCTAAGATTGGGTGGCGCAAAACCATTGCCACCCTTGTTGCCACCTCCTCCCATGCCCATCTGAGGCATCATTCCACCACCACCACCTCCATCTTTCCTCCCATTCATGAATTGCATCATTTTTGGCATTTGACCACCACCACTGCCACCGCTGTTATCCATCGCAAGCTTCATCTTATTGGGAGGCATGTTATCCATTTTTTCTTCAAAATCGTCATCATCGTCTTCATCATCTTCTTCATCATCGTCATCATAGTCATCATCATCATAGTCATCATCATCGGTAAAATCATCATCCTCATCAGGCATGTCAAACTTGACATTCTTGGGGTTGTTGCCTCCATTACCATCACCACCGCCAAAACCACCACCACCCGCATTCATGGGCATCTTCATGTCCTTGAATTGAGGATGCATCTTTAAATCCTGAAGAGCCTTCAGCTGCTGAAGCTGCTGGGGATTTGGCATTCCAAGATTTCCACCTTTGATCTGCATCTGATTGTTGATGTCATTGTTCCCTTTTACGCCCTTCCCCTTGTTGTCATTCCCGCCTTTACTGTTATTTCCGATTTGCATATTCTTGAACTGATCGAGGAACTGATTAGGATTGTTTTTCGCCTTTGGGCTAACCCATAACTCCGCGTGCTTGCCCTTCTTCCTCAGCTTATTGATCAGAGTAGAAGGGTCTACATTTCCAGAAACTGTGACCTTGCCCGATTCTGATTCGATACCTATAGTATAAACCCCTGTAGCAGAACATAAACATACACCCGAATTTTCAGAACAAAAACCTTCAAAATTCAGTCCTTTTTCAACAGTTAACCCAGACATCAAGAAAATTAATTTTGATTATAAGTTGCAAGCAAAAAAAACGAGAAATCACTCATAAAATTGCTAATTTGAGTAAATATAATAGGGAATATCAATTAATGATATACTTGTATGAGTCTTGATATAAGAATATACCTTCAATCCTCTGCAAGATTTTCTTCACTTTATTCTTACAGCCTTCACAGTGTATATTTACTTTTAGAGCACAAGTCTGCATTTACAAGAAAATTCAGCAGGTAAATTTAAACCACAGTTAACAATTTAGGTATCTCGGGAATCCAAACACAAAATAAATAAATAAATAAATAAATGACTAAAAAAATACAGAAAAGACATAAATGAACAAATGAAAAATTATTAAACAAATTCAAGAATACAAAACGTATATCCATCAGCCTACCTCAAGCTACATACACACAAAATCTTCACAAACAGGCAGGAAAATCAGCAAAAAATGAAAAACAGAAAAAAAAACATATATGGGTTACCTGGATCTTCAAGAACTCTTCCTTGCTCATTTTTTGTTCAGTCCAAAAACTACTAGGAAAAAAAAGAGATTAGACTTTTAGGTTGGGTGGAGGTAGATCTGGGAGAGGCACTAAAGAACTACTAAAAGGGCATTGAGATATGAAGTTTGTCAACGTTTAATTCACATAAAAAAAAGTGGGGAAACCCACAAACATAAAGATAAAGGGGCTTAATGAATTTCATTCATAATCATTTGTCTTTTTTTTTTTTAGTTTTGCTTTTGTTGCTAGCAGAGAACAGAGGCAAAATGTGACTCAACTGAAGCCAGAGAAATCTAGGTAGAGAGATGAGGAGATAGCCTCAAAAAGTTGATGTCTTTCAGAAGAGAGAGGGTGGGGGATATTAAAAGAGGCGGTGGGTACACATCACAGTAAACATCTTTGCTGGTGGGTTACAAAATACTGTATTTTGAGGGGTAGGGACGACGGTCCCTGCTTATGTCTGCTGAACAAACGAGGGACTGAGCACAAGAACTGAGGGAAGTGCTGTATTGCTCATCGTATATTGTACTCTATTTATTAATCCCCCCATAATCATGACCTGTTGGAAATGATACCCGGAACAAAAATAAAAAAGATTATCTCACTGTGGGTTTCGCGCTTTTTATAATTACTATACTCTCAAAAAAGCTTTTTGTACAAGTAAATACGTAGTAGTGTCAATCTAACAACTGTACTCAATTAACATTAAAAATTCAAGTTTGTATATTTGGGAAAATTGTTAAATAGGTCCTCGAACTTTCATATAAAGGTCAATTAAGTCCTTCTAGTTTACTCATACTAAATTTCAGCTAAAAATTCAATCGGGAACACATTCAAATTAATTCTTGAAGATAACTGCGCATTTTTGCGTTCTCGAATTAATTTGAATGCGCTCCCAATTAAATTTTTAGCTGAAATTTAGTATGAGTAAACTAGACTTGATGAATAAGATGCTCAAAAAATTTCATCAAAAAATTCCACCGGGAACTGCCCCAAATCGCGACGACCGGACAGAGTCTCCTATAGAAGAACTTAATTGACTTTTTTATGAAAGTTCGAGGACCTATTTGACAGTTTTCCCTATATATTTTGGAATGTTATACTACCTCCGATTTTTATTAAACTTCACACTTTGACTTCACACAAAATAAGGAAAGAAATTTGACTTTACTATAGTGTACACTGTTAAGGCACTGTTTGACACTGTTGAGACACTGTTTGGCACTGTTGAGACACTGTTTGGCACTGTTTTGATGTAGATTTCTTTGCCAAAAAAGGAAATAAGGAAGTGTGAAGTTTGTTTTAGACCGTCCCAAAAAGGAAAGTGTGAAGTTTAATAAAAACCGGAGGGAGTACTTCATAGGTAATAAAGTGAACTATGGGATAAGGGTCAGTTTGGTCCTTGAAGTTGCAAAAAAGGAGTCACATAAGTCCTTATATAGAAGATTCTGTCCGGAAGTGCCATTTGAGGTGGCTCCCGGTGGAATTTTTTGATGAAATTTTTTGAGCATGTTATTCATTAAGTCTGGTTTACTCATATCAAATTTCAGATAATTGTGTCGTTAAAAGCGCAATTATCTTCATGAATTCATTTGAATGTCTTCCCGATTGAATGTTTAGCTGAAATTCGGTATGAGTAAACTAGACTTAATGAATAAGATGCTCAAGAAATTTTATCAAAAAATTCCACCGGGAGCCACCTCAAATGGCACGTCCGGACATAATCTTCTATATAAGGACTTATTTGACACCTTTTTAGCAACTTCGAGTACCAAACTGACCCTTTACTGAACTATTTACATCATCTCCTACAAATTAATGTATTTAATTGATCCTTTCCTATGAATAAATGACAGAAATATTAGTAAGAATTAAGAATGATAACTGTATATTTTTATGTGAGTGCACAAGAGTAAATACATGTTTCTCAATTTGGAGTTTACTACATACACTTAAACCTTCAAAAAACAAGGTTGAGATGTTACAGGATTTTTTATAGATAATTATGCGATTGTGTTAAGATATACCATAGTATCATTGTAAAATATTGACCCGATAGGAGTATCACAATATATTAAAATAATACTTTATTACTTCATAATTTTCTGGTGTGGATCTTCAACACCCTTTACGACGAGAAACTTTGTCATTTTTATAATTATCGTCATTTTCTCACAGGGGGTCACACCATCGTTATGGATTAATTTGGCTTTGATACAATGCTGAGACATGTGATTTCATTCTAAAAGATTAATCTGACAGGAGGAGTATTTGATAATTTTCTAGTGTGGGACTTTAACAAATTGATACCCCTATTATGTGTGTTTGAAATCAAGAATATGTCAACTTAAGCCATCTACTTTAGCAAAATGAATGATTAATTATATCCATCAATTATTCAATTAACTTATGAAGTGTAACGAAGTTGTCAGCTAAATTAAGTACTTAAAGCTAAATTAAGTACTTAAGGCATGTTCAAGTTTTTGATTTTCCATCTTCATCAACGTTCTTATTATGTCACACAAGATAAAACATTTAGAGCTTGTCGTAACTGTCGTGCTTTTCCGTATTTTCAGAACCCTTTCATGATTATGAATTTGTCGTTCGTTTTTCCTCTAGGACGGTCCTTCTCATCGCCTCCTTATACTTTTTCATCGATAAAGCAAACTTTAAAAGTGTTTCTCATCATTACACTTTCATGCTATTTCTTCCTTCTCAAAAACTTTTTCTCACTAGACTTCTCCAATTTTGTACTCAAGTGGGACCTATAACTTTCTAGGCTTTGGGCAGCAGAGGATGACGGAGCCTAGATTTTGGTTCAGTACATTAGAGAAGACCAAACGCAGCGTTCGAACGAATAAGTTTAACGAATGAAAGAGTCATAAATATGCAAAGTGAGAATAAATCTCAAGCAATTCAAGAACAAGGTTTACAAATTTACTCGTGGGGGAGTCCTTAATGTTTACAAATTGCTACAAAAATCTCCCAAAACAAGAGTAAGAAACAATATAAAATCGTAAAATAGTATTACTATGTTCCCCATAAATAAGACTAATCACCGTCATTATGAATCGTACTAACATATACTCCCTATTTACATTATCATACACTAATATGATTGTATTAATTTCCTATTTGACTTTATTTCCTATTTGACTTTATTTTCCAAATGTAACAATAATTACTTATATTTATGGGGAATCGGAATTAATATGCATAGTTAGGTTGTAGTACTATGAGTATTATTTAAGGAATCTATATTTCTTAAAGAAACTAAGAATTGTTTACTTTTTTATTATTATTAAGTTTTGTTTAAATTAAGATGTGCATCTGAATTAAGATGTCGGTATATTAAATGGTACTTGTATATGAGTTTTTTTATTTTGTGGGTTGAATAATCAAATTATAGTAAAATAATCAATTTAATATTGTTCTTGAATAATAATAATAATACTGAAAATTTTCATTTATTAACATAAATTTATTCCATAATCGATTCTAAAAAGATCGACCGAAAGGACGTCTTCATAAATGTCTTGATGGAAAGAACAATTATTTTTCAATTTAAAGATTAAATTGTAAGTATAGATAACTTAATGTTTTTTTTTGGAAGAAATAGATAACTTAATAGTTGAATTGCTATCTAATTAAATTCATAAAATAAAAAATAAACAGCCCCTAAAATAATGCACATGCATATTTTGTTTTCCATACGGCTAATAATATGGCCTATCAGTGCAACAACCTCGATGGAGTTAAACAGGCAAATTAGCTTAGCTGATTGTCTGAGTGTCTGACTAGTGAGTTGCCGATTATTGATAGGCCATGTATCAGCTACCTTTAAAAGATTGAAAGGAGGGTTTGAATAGTATATGATGCCTAGAAAGAGCTTGGAGGGTACATTAGTACATAGCTAACGTGTAATACTCCATATTGTTATTATGGAGTATCATTATTGTTACTATTTCACTTTTTTTCAAAATATACTTGAATAATTTTTTAATCGAAACCTCTGCTTTGCTTTAGAGCAATGCACTATGCCCGACTTTTGAGGACCGTTCGAGCAAAACATTAATGGTCGGAAATTCCAAGATCTGCATCTCGGAACTTCTCTTTTCCCATCCAATAACCCTCTACTTGCAAAGCACTCTGTTGTGACCGCATGATAGAGGATCTCAATATGAATCATATGTAGTTAGGGTTGGACCGGGCCTGATCCGGTTCCAGGTCGGGACCGGGCGGGCTTGGAAATTTTTGGGTAAGGCCCAGTTCGTATACCATGGGATCATCCCACGGTGAGCACCATGCTCCCACTCCCAAAACGACGTAGTTTTGCACAATCTTTTATTAAAAAAATCACGTGAACAGTACACACGTGAACAGTACACGCATGTACAATAATTGTTTTTTCCTTCTTTTTGTCCGAGTAGCATGAATGATGTAACTCACATGTAAATATATGTAACTCACGTTATTGATCAATGTAACTCAAGTCCAGTCGAAATGTAACTTTGTCAAATACATAGTATAAGAAGTAAACTTTGATTTAAATGTAAATAATGATAAAAAAGAAGTCAAATTATTTTACATAAATAGTGTTATTGTTTTGTTTTTAATATCAGGGCTACAAAAATGATTTTTTTATATAAAAAAAATTCTTTGAATATCAAAGGTTTATTGTGTTGTGTAACTAGCATTATATTGCGGTGTAACTCATATTATATAAAATGTAAATCACGTGCAAGTATGATGTAACTTGTTGATGAAAGTTGACATGTAACTCACGCTAATAGACATGTAACTTTAGGCAAATCCTGATGTAACTGCATGTATTTTCAAATGTAATTTGAGCCAAATCAAAATGTAAATTGTCTAAACTGAAATATGTGTGTGTGTGGTGTGAAGATTCCTAATCAACCCTAATGTTATCATGCTTGGCCAGCAAAAACATCCATGACTCATCACTGATGTGCAATCTGAAGGAACGGAAGTGGGATTGTGATCAATTGTGTTTGCAGGCTCAGATAGGTCGTACAAGCCAAAGCAGAATAGGATAGTTGCAATCAGCGAAAGCCAAAGCCGAATAGGATTTAACTTGTTTGGCCGGATTTTATTTCGTGCTCGTCGGCTACGTGCAGAGCTCTGTCTCTGTAGGGAAAGGCAGACCTGTTCCTTTTTTTTTTAACTAAACGACACCGTTTTTGGGCTTGGAGCACGATGCTCACCGTGGGATGATCCCACGGTATAATTTGCGGGTCGGGCCGGGCCGATTCTTATATTTTTATTTTTATTTTGGGTTTCTTAGGTTATTCCACCACCCCCCTGCCCCCCAAACCCCGCCAAAACACCCATCCCACCATAGGCCCAACCAAGGAAAAAAAAAATACCCGGACCGGCCGGGCCCATCCCCAATTATCCGATCCCGGAACCACCCCCATAAACTCCCCTGGGTCGGGTCTAGGCCCGGTACCGGTTCACCGGGTCGGGCCTAAGCCTGGTACCGGTTCACCGGGCCGGACTGGTCCCGCACAGGAGCAGGCCGGGCCGGTTCCCGGGCCAAGCCTATGTGTAGTCAAATTCTTAATGTCATTCTTATCTGAATATTTCAAGTTTAAATAGTCTTATATGAATTGAACTAGGCAAAAAAAAACTCATACAACCACACTTGAGATAAGAGTATAAGACTCCTTTCCAATGTATTAAAAAAAAACATGAGTCTTGA